AAGCAAAATCAATTTTCAAAGAATTTTTGTTGTGAGCATAACCCCCTTTGAAAAAATTTTTGAAACCTGCAATCCACCCTCCCTAAAATTAAAATTGAAGGCCTGATTTTTCCACTGTTTATTTTGATAAAAAATCCCTTTTAGGAACAATGTTTTATTACAATTCAGCTTGAAATGAAAACTGGGTTTCAAACCCATTTTCAAAAACAGGTTTTCATCTCAGAATATTTCAAAGAAGTTTGGATCATAGGTTAATTCATCACATGTAAGAGGGTAATGGTCAAGGAGTGCTAAAAATTACTTTAATTGTAAGAAAATATAAATTTTTGGACATTTTTTGGAATTTCTTGAGAATTTTGGAACAAATTACCATATTTACTTCAGTACCACACACCCTTGAGTAAAACGCGCACAAACGTTTTTCAGTTGGACATTTTGCTAAAATCTTATCCCCAAGTAAGACGCCCATCCCAATTTTTCGTGAATCTAAATCCACAAAATTTCAAAAATAACACCAAAAATTTGACTTTAGACATGAATTGAACAAAAATCTGATCAATTTTCAACTTTTTCAGTATCAAAAATTTTTCTTGGTACATTTGTTCCAAATATCTCCATTATAATCAAGTATAATGCACACACAACTTCCTAAAACTTCTTGAAAAATGTGTACCCACTTATGACCTGCACCCCTTCTTTTCTTCTGAAATTTGAGAAAAAAGGTGTGTGGCGGTACTCAAGTAAATACAGGTAAATGATTCCCCATAGAAGTCTATGGGAAATCATGATTTGCAATAAGAACATAGCGCACAAGGACCCTATCTCTAGAACAGATTACGTTTGTAATGCAAGGTATCACTGTACCAAGTTCAAGCCATTCATTCAAAAACTAAGAGAGCTCAGGTTAAAATCCCTGGGACAAGAGCAATGTGGAGAAATAAACTCATTCACGCCATCAACCCGCTTGAAAAAAAAAATTCGACTCAAACTTACTGGGCAAGAAATTTATACAAAAACACCGCATCAATTCAAAATTAAAATAAACCTCGAGTTGGACTAACTTGGACAAGAACCAAATACTGAACTGCACAATGACTTATTCACGCAATTAATTCAAGCAAAAAAATGTGAAAATCGACTTCAACTTCCTGCGCAAGAAATTCAAATGAAAAAGACTGAATTTGCATTCAAAAATAAAAAGGAAACTTGAAGTTGTCCAAACTTATCTCGGACAAAGAAACCAGCTGGAGAAAATACGGCACTCGCACAATTACTCCTCACGAGAAATAAATCACCATCTCAACTTCCTGGACAAAGACCTACAGATTTAATTTTATAAAATAAAATAAATAAAAAAGTCGCATCCAGATTATCTTCGTTATTGATCAAGAGAAATCCACATAAAACTCCAAACAAAGTTACGACCAGCATCAACATGGATCACATATATTTTTTTAATCCTCTGCCTACATTTCATACCAGCGATTGAAAAGTTATGCAAAGATAAAAGTGCTGTTCGTCTTCAAGTACACACAAGAATATTTTCAATACTTTACTGTTCACAGAAATTTAAAAAAAAAACCCATCACGGGTCCCGACTTTCAGATGGCTTTTCATAACTTCATCAAAATTCGTTCTTTGGCCAGTTGATCGAATTTCCAAATAAATAAATAAATAAAAATCCTCAACTCCGCTTTCTTCACTTAGAAGGTGTACTACATTGTTTCTTGTTACAAGTTCCGTTGTGAAAGGTAGCGCTCAGCTTTTTATTTAATGAAAAGGTGAACTGAGCAATATTGCCCTAAGAGAGGTATCAAGATTATCAGAATTCACAAACTTTTAAAAAAAGCAAAGAAAATCTCTTTCGACGACAAGATACCGTGGAATTCGAGGGGAAAAAAAACAAATAAAGGAAGCACGGAAATAATCAACTCACCCTTTGTCCTTTCGACCACCGCCGCCTTCGCGAAACCCCTTGGCAAAGGGGTTGTGATTGATTTTCAACTGCGTCACTTTCTCGTTTTGGTAGGCAGTGACTGCGATGAACTGAGTCTCCTTGAACACATACGTCCGAAACGTGGAGTAAGGCAACTTCATCACGTCGTTGGCCCGCACCAAGTGGAACCTCGGCTGGTACTTGTGCATCGAATTCAACACCGTCTGTAGACAAGCAAAGAAAGAGAGAAAGAAAAAAATTGATTAGGAAACATATTCATGGGGAGATGACCATTCTAAAAAGCCACACAAAAAAATTGGGGAAATACGGACGACTTCTAAATACAGTGAGACACCTCACCATGCAGACAATTTAACTTAGAAACACTTATTTCACCATGAAAAAATTAATAAAAAAGACCTGACATGAGGACACTGACTCAACATAGGGACATTTTGTGATAAAATTGCAAATAAGTTTCAGGCCAAATTAAAAGAAACATATATTTCCAACCCTAAAATTGATGTAAGAATAGTTCTTGGGCATTTCTCTCAACAATTTACCATCCATTTAGCTAATTTAAAAAAATTACCTCCAGGATAGAGGGATTTCCTTCTCAACTCTTTTCAACTTGAATATTATTTTTTTTACCGAGATTGCCAACATTTTGATGTAATGTACAGAGGTATCAGTATTCAATTCCTCAAATGTCCATATTGTGTTGAAATATATTGATTAAATCAGTTTCAATTGAAATATATTGATTAAATCAGTTTCAATTGAAAGACATTATTAATTTTCATGGAATTATTTTGAGTATTTGGTCCATAAAACTCCAATTAAAACTTATATGATGTAAGTTCAAGGGAAAATTAGACTCAACTTAGGGACATTTCAACCTAGTGACACTCTTGATGCACCTATTATGTCCACATCTCGGGGTCTCACTGTACAACTTTAAAAGTACGTCACTCATACCATAATTTCCTCCCGCTCTTGCATCTCTGATGGTACTGTAATACTGTACGAGTGTACGGTACTCGTCATCAGTAGCACCCACCTGTAAAAATCCAAGTGCTTCCCGCTCTCCACCAGCTCGATGACTTGACCAAATAACTCCAGCTCTGCCACAGTCATGCACCCTGTCGCCCTGGTGAGCCCCAAACAGGTCCTCAAGCTGGCCGCGTACCCAGCATTGGATTCCGTGTGCACAAACGGGTTCCGTCTGGCCCATCTCAACTCAGTTTCCGCAAACTCGGGTCGCGCCACCAGAAAGCACGCCGACACCGCGTGGAAAAAGGCCAGTCGGGACAAAATCCCGCCGCATTCCTCGCCTGAAGCACCATCGAGCAGTCTCAAGGCTCGGAACCCTGAACATCGCAGGTCCTCCAGGGTGATGCAGGAGTCAAAGTTGCCAGTGGTTTCCGCGCGGGCAAAGAAGCATTTGGCAACTAGGTTTTGGAACACTGAGAGTGGAGCTGGATTGGTGATGGTGCAGTCTGACTTAAGAGAAGCTGGGAATTGGCCAAGGTACTCGGACAGTGCAGGGAAATACACCTGCAAGGCAAAATTCCAAAGTGGGGGGAAAAAATCAGTAGTCCGGGTGGCAACCCTGCCCCATATACTAATGGCGACGTATGCCTGGCATTCATCCCCCTATTTTTTTTTTTTTTTTTTTTTTTTACACATCGGACTGGGGTTGACGCAAAGTTTGGTCTCTGACATGATGAAGTACCTTGATTTGAATTATAGACCTCATAAAAAGTGGCGTCCTCTGACAAAAAGGAGATAAATAAAGAAAAAAAAATCATAATTTTTTTTTTTACAAATTGTTCTTCGCGTCTGAATTTGCCAGTTTAATTTTTAGCAAAAATTCTGCGGTACATTGCTTATTTTGACGTGTATTTAATAATACAGTATTATTCTTCTGCCAGGATATTTTGGCAAAATAGCCAATATGAAGCCCTGGCAAAGTCCAATTATTTTTTTGTTTATGCATGCAGAAACCTTTTGCTAAAGATAAATTCACATGTGGATTTTTTTTCTGAAATCTTCACGCAGAATTAACATTCAGAGATTTAAAAAAACCGTAGGATCTACGATATTTAAAAGAAATTGGCTCAAATATGAACCGCGAACAATGCACCACTCTTTTTCCCGCTTTTTGAAAAATTTCCGTGCGTTTTCTCAAACATTTTTTCTAAATCTCGGGAAGACCAGATTCGGAAAAAAATTGCGCTATTTTCTTTCAAAGAACTCCAGCTGAAATTACTTCGGATACTTTATCGCGTAAATTTTAAGAATGACGAAGTTCTTATTTTGCATCCGGTTTTTAGCGTCATGTATTTTTAAAATTCATACTGGGTTCCCTGAGTTTGGTGGGCGATTTCATTCCAGTGTAATGAATTTTTTGTTCCAAATTTTTGTTTTTCAAAGTGTACTTTCTCACCGAAATAAATTTCAGCCTCCCTTGCGAAAAATCGAAACCAGTCGCAAAGCATGATCCTTTGCTGTTTAAAATACTGGGTTTCCTGAGAGTGCCTGGGCGATTTAACCCTCAGAAGGCGGAGGGTTCATTTCGATTGTGCCGCAAAGTTGGGGTATTCTCGGGGGTGGAGCATTTCAGTTTGACCCAAGGTTGCTGAAATGCTTCCAGGTTGAGAAGGCCTAAGTTGGGATAAATCCAGGAGATAAATTCTCTTTTGTTTTCAGGAATCTTTCATGCTGATCCTATGCCAGGAATGCAGGAAAAAACGCCACCCAGTGAGGGATTTTTTTTAGTTTTCATCCAAAATTTTCTGCTGGATTAGAAAAAAATGTCGGACTTCTTCCCAACTTAGGCCTTTGTACAATAGTTGCATTTTTTAAATTCCCAGTGCTCAGTGACACGAGATTTTGGAAATATATCCCAACTTTGCCGCACAAGGGTTAATTCCAGCGTCATGAATTTTTAGTTCTATATGGGGGTTTTTTTTTCTTCGAAGTTTACTTTCTCACCGAATAAATTTCAGCCTCCCTCGCGAAAAAGCGAAACCAGTCGCAAAGCATGATTCTTTGCTGGTCGTCACGCGGTGGGAATTTGAAGGCCAGTCGCAGGTCAACCTCTCGGTCCTTTTCTCGCAATTTCACGAAATTGGCCATGTCACTCTCGCCATCGACACCGGAACTGCTCACTCCGTCGATGCCTTCTTTTCGCATCCACCGCAATAACCCATTCCAAGTCCCATCCAATTCGTCCAATGAGGAAATAGTCACCGTGATGCCGACTAAACTGCCTGCAAAACTGTTTCCGGCTCCTCCGACTAATCCGTTGTCTCTCGTGAAACGAAGCACCTTGGGTTCCGAATTTTGGCAACCATCAGGGGATGAGAACCCGTCTTTTTCAACCGTTTTTCCGAGATTATCTGAATTTTCAGGCCGTTTTTCGAGGAATAAAATCTTTGCCAAGTTGTCCAGTGTCAAATTGTCTGCGCTGGTTGGGTACCACAGGTCGACTGCTGCTGATGACGAGGGATCTGATTCCAGATGGCGCTGTTTTGGCACATTTTCAGCCATATTTTTTCTTAAAGCCAAAAGATTTCTTCTTGCGAAATATTAATTTTCTCCAACCCGTAGGATTTTGTTTTCCTTCACCGCCGAAAAATGCCAATGAAACCTGTCCAAAGTGAGGAAAATCTCATTCCGTCCCTCGATTCTACTGCCTGTGAAAGGATTTAAATTCATGAAATTATTCTGTATGAACTTTAGGTCCACCAAATTGTCGAGCGTTCATCAACATATTTGTTTTTTAATGTAAGAAATGAATCGATCCTTGATTGCTTTGCCAGAGAAAATTTAATTGAAATTGAACGAGCCGAAAATTCTTGAGTAAGTGCAGGGGGTTTTCAACAGTCAATGGTCTGGAAGTTTCTTTTCGATCGTCAATTTCCTGGCTTGGAAATTATTTCAAAATACACATTAGGACATCTTGTAATTTTATGAATAATTCCATTAAATTAAACAAACTTGGCAAATAGCGATACTGCGAAAGGTTTCAAGACACCTGACAATTTATAAGCTCACCAGGAAGTGCTGAAAATCTGCGCAAGCTTTCGATTTTGTAAAATAAGGTTTCTGATATAAAATGTTCATCATCGTAGCTCGAAATCTCATTTAAAGTAAAATTCAACGATACCTGCTGGTTTAATTCAAAATCGGAACAAGAAATACAGTGAATAGAAGTGAGGAGAATTTAAGCCGAATAAGAAAATTATAAAAAAATAATTTTTTAAAATTCCGCGCGCGAGTTTTGCGACTGTGAAATCCCACACAATTTGTGTTTTGTCAGGCCGATCTTTTTAGTCGAAGAAAAAATTACAATCACAAAGTCAACCGTTTCTTGCTCGCTCAAGATTTCGACATATTATTCAATATTTTTTCGAGTTTTTATGACTTCGACGTTTCAGCAAATCCGCCATTCTGATAAAGGAAGTCAGGATGACTGACCAATTAATTAGGAATGAATGCCAAATTTTCGCACCTACGATTTGCTCTATATTTTACTTGAGCTGATTCCGTTCGTCGAAAAAAAATTTCAAAATCAAGGTCAAACTGTTCCTTCTCTTTTTAAAAATGTCAACGTGCCCACTTTTTGCCAGTAACAATTACCTAAGAAATATTTCAAGACTTCACGGGAAAAATCATTAACAAATAACACAAAAAAAAAACTCGCAGTTCGTTCCAGCACACGTTTACTTGAAATCCTCGCGACTGCGATATACACACACTAAATTTTCTCGCTTCATTTTCGCAGTTTAAAAAACATTTCGAACACTCAAACTCAGAAATTCAAGCTCCAACTGGCAATTGAAGAAAAAAATTCGCGAATAACAATAACACCGCAAGAATTTACCGACTTCGCGACACGAGAGCTCGGAAGGAATGCGACAAAAAAACCGCGTTTTTATTGTTGACTACCCATTCATGATGGAATAAAGTAGAACAAGCGAGTGACTTTGTCTAGGATTTTGTTTGTATTTTCATTTTCTGGGTCAACGTGTTCTGTCGAGAAGGTGGGAATTATTTAATAAATACATGTAGTGTATTGATATCAATGGGTGTCTTGCTGACGTCATTGTACGCCCTCGCTGATTTTTCTGGATTGACGCACTCTTTGACCTCGACGAGCAAAATTCATCATCTAGGGAATCTCGTAGTTTTTTTTTCTTCTGTGATTCACGTTTGGGTCAACGCGTTTTCTTCGTTGTATTTCAGAAATTTCGTGTGAACCGAACCAAGGGGATTGTGTTTTGAGGACAAGATTAACTGATTCATTTTTTTGTTGTTGGTCTGCTGTCTTGAACATAAGATTTTTTTTGTTGTTGACTGGATTACCTTTCTGTTCCCAACCTCGTAAAGATGGAGTTCACTGATTGGAACTCCGTGAAAGTGCACTAAATCAGATGAACATTCTCATCTAAATCTGACCGTGCCAATTCCTACCGAAAGAATTAGTCATTACTCATTAGTCATTTTGACAATAGGCATATTTGTGCAGGCTTGAGCAAGGTTTCCAAATATTTTGTGACCTTTCCCACCAAGTCATTCGATTTTTGTATGCTTTCAGAAGAAAACGCGCGAACTTCTTGGAAATCCTACACGATGAAGAACCCGAAAAATAAAATCAGAATAAGATGAATTATCTTGAAAGTCAGCGTCATTTTCGGCGGGAAATAGTCTAAAATAATCCTTTACAGCACACAAATGTATACCTATTATATACGACTTGAAAACATGACTTCGCAATTTTCAGCGGTTCAAACATTCCTCAAAATAAAATCTATACAAGAAGCACGCAATCTGGGAAAAGATAATCAAAATTCATTACAAATATTGGAATAAATCTTGACATTTCGAATTGAATTTTGTTTGGAGCAAAATTTACATTACTAAATAAAGCTTCAAGTTGTTTTTGAGCATGATAGATTGTATGACTTGAATTTAAGTTGATAAAGGAAACCAACTGTTTACTTTAAACCGTCTAAGGAAACCGCTACAAATTGTGCCAAATTCCAAAAACAGCGTTATGAGTAGACATTTTTTCAAGTATGATATCTCATATGAGATCCCTCATCCAATCAATAGACTTGAGATATTAATAAGATTAATTTTTGCAGTGAGTTTTTTTCAGCCTCAAATAAGCAAACTCGCTATTTTGGACGAAAACGAAAATTCAAAAGATTCTTTCCGTTTATTTGTCACCATTAATATTGCTACTGTAAAACCTTGCAAGTGTATGATTGGCAAAACTCTTTCGTTGATGTCTGTTAAGCTTGGGGTTATGATTCAGCAGAAACAGACAGCAGACTATAGTAATATGCACATGCTCCCTCAATATCATCATATCACATTTCATAAGCACAAGCTAGTCCATCTCCTTTCCAAATGTTTATACCTAATTCAGGGTTAACCCTTGGATGGCAGAGGGTTCTTTCACATTGCCAGCCAAAGTTGGATTATTTTTGTTGGCTGGGGAGTTTTAAGTTTTCTGAAGGTCAGAAAAGCCCTTCCATCAGCAGGTGGGCTGAGGCAAAGTTGGGATTAATCCTCAAGAAGCCTGCTGCATAACATACCATGTTTTTCATGGGAAATTTTTCTGCACAAAAAGAAAAAAAAAACGTTGGGATTTTTCCTGACTTTGTCCTCAACTCCCTGTTGTCAATTTTTTTCTTTTCTTCTCTGATGAGGTGCAACAAAATTTTGCAAAAGTAGTCCAACTTTCCCGCCCAAGGGTTGAAAATCACCAGGAATACCATGGTTTTTCGTCTCAATAACAAGGTACCCAACCAAAAGCCCCCTCTAGGTCAAAAGCCCCCAGAAAGCCCCCCCCCCCCCCCTGGCAAAAGCCCCCATGCCAAAAGCCCCCACCCCACTTTTTTTAAATGCAAGTTTCATAACAGTATTTGGTGGCCCTGAGAAGGGCTGCTTGGCTTCATTAGTCCTCAAAAAGACTGTTAGATAATAATCTTCAAAATTGCCTTCTGCAGCCTCTTCCTCAGTGTCACTGATGCTCTCAATGCCGTTTTCTTCTCAATGTGGCCCTCTTATCTCATCTTCTTCATTTGCGCATTTCCAGCACATAGTGCTGGCATTTGAGTTCTTAACCATGAATAAATAGCCATTGTAGTATGCCTTTTCACCACCCTTCTGATTTTTGATGATCTGAAGTGCACCAGCCATTGGATCAACAAGGTACAAACTGTAGATTTTGCAGAAGTCAGCAAGTGATGATGCTTTATGACATTCAAAGAATCACTGATGACCACTGCAGGTGAGGAATCCCTTTATATACTCAACTTACAAACATATTGGTACTTGGCCTTGCGCTGTCTGTTTTGGTTACAGGATTCATTTTTATAAGTAGATTATATTTTAAAATGTTGTCTGAAATTTCAATTTATCATTCCTTTATTTCAATGTTCAAACTTGCTCATTTCACTAGACCAAAATGGAAGATGACGGAGACTTGAAAACGTAACGGAATGTTGTTTTTCAAAATTGCTTTTCCATACTAAATTTTGCGGCGATTTCATTACTACCAGACTTTTCAACATGCAAAAAAAAACTCTCTCAATAACTCTGTACCACACATCTGAATATCTACAGTACTACAATGGGAGGGTTTCGATTTTTGAAAATTCCTCTTTTTTATTTCAGTGCAAACTGAGAGACATAGTTTGCACTGAAATGTGAATCGATGAATGAGCAAGTTTCAATTCCAATCAATAAAAATCTATATGAATAACTCAATGTGCTCGTCTCAAGTATTATTGTTATTATTCTTGTATTTGCAGTATTTCGGAGGATTCTTCCCAAGAAGCTGAAAACACAAATTACAGCATTCAAGCTATTGAAACTTTTTACTATCACTTCCTGAAACGTTATATTTTAAAATATAACGTTTTAGTTCATTTCAGTTCATAACCGCAAATGAACCCAATGACACTGTCGTCATTTCCTGAAGAATCGAAATGCGGCAAAAATTTGGGCAACAATTCCGTGAATTTTTTCCAGTCCAGTAACAAAACTTTCACAAACTTTTTCAACTCGCATAATATCGGTCATGCAGTCCAACTTCTTCCAACAGCAGGAAGTCGAGAAATGAAAAAAAGTTGAAAAACAAGAGCTAGATGCAGATTCTTATCCGAAAACAGAATACTCGGCTCTAAAACTGGAAGTTCAACGAGAACTTCTCAATTATAATCTTCTCAGAGCACTCCGAATACATTTTATCTTCTTATGTACACTTCTAGCCATTGGGTATCACTGCTATTTTTTTCTTTTAAATAAATTTACTCAAAGCACACCTCTTCTGCCTAGTTCAGGGAGTACGACTTACTCACAGTTCTCTATTATCAAGTTTTTGTCTTGCTGAATTCCAACCTCAACATCCATCCTTTCACACAATTGAATCGTGCCTTCCTTAGGAAAATGAATTCCCTTGCAATAATGGAAAAGTTTGTTCGCATGGAAATGATTCAGCGAGTAACTGAGTACAACAAACCAGCTCTTGAATTAGTGTCGAGTTTTATTGACATCCTCATCATGGGCCTATACACTATCAAATAAAGTGAAAATTTTCATGATTAAATATGGTTTTACCTTATACAACACTGTGTTTTTCTCATCGTGTATATTTATAATGGATTTTTTGGCATGAGGTTCGCTCCT